GCCAGCCTGGTCTACAAGAGCTAGTTCCAGGACAGGCACCAAAAACTACAAACCCTGTCTCAAAAATCAAAAAAAAAAAAAATGGTACTCAACTTCATTTGGACAACAATGTGAACAATGTTGTAAGAGAGACTTACATAGATCTAATCTACATGGGAAGTAGAAAGTAGAAAAAGACAAGATCTCCTGAGTAAATTGGGATCATGGGGACCTTGTGGGAGGACTGAATGGGAGAAGGGAGAGGATGGGAGGGGAGCAGAGAAAAATGTAGAGCTCAATAAATATCAATAAAAAATAATATAAATTTAAAAAGCCAGTCTACTCCACACAGCTGGCAAACTAAAGAAAGTTAATTTTCAAAAGCTGCTCTTTAGCAAAGACTGAATTTGTCAACAGTACCATGATCAACAGTGTCACCTACTGGCAAGTAAAGGCATTTTTATAAAACTGTGCTCAACTCGCCTTCTAAGCTTTATTCTAGTCCTTAAACTAAAGTGTATTTGTGTGTGTGTATTTATCTAAATCACACTGGCAGGCTGGTTTAGTGGGTAAAGGTGCCTGCTGCCAAGCCCAAGGAGCTGAGCTCGAGATGGGTACGGCCACAATTAAAGGGATGGGGGATGAATATGACAGGAAGTAGGAGCGATGGTATGTGTGAGTGGGGGGTCTTCGTAGAGGCCTCTCGGGGTGAGGACCATTGAGCCCAGAGCAGCACCCAGAGCAGCTGGGCAGACATGAAGGGGCGAACACTACAGCAGAGATCTTGGCAAGAACCAAGCCTAAGAAGAGCCAGGGCCAGTGTCCCTGGAGAACAAGCTGGGAGACAGTGACAGGGAGGTCACAGCAGGCCAATGTAAAGGTATAAACCTCACCTGACGGGCACGAGAAGCAACTGAAGAACGCCAGTCAACCAGAACAAGTACACGATGTGAGATAAGTGACTAGATTTTTAAGATAGCCTGGGTTGAAGCAGGAAGTTGGACTTAGTCTTTAAGGTTCTGGTAGAGCAGTAGTAGCAGAGCTGGTAGAATGGACAGTATAGAAAATGTTTGGATATCTGGGCCCTACAACTTCCTGTAGGAACATCCCTGCTGGTTTCCTCTCATTCTGCTTGAACTGGATCATACACAGCAGAGTTATTCATTAAGACTCTGGTTCTAGGATCAGAAGGATCCAACTCGATGCCATGACTTTCCAGCTTTGCCTTAGTTAATTCTTCAGCCCATAAACCTCATTTCCCAGTGCTAAAGACACAGCCTATCTGTACCCTGCTGTGTCATTTCCCAGTGCTAAAGACACAGCCTATCTGTGCCCTGCTGTGTTATGTGAATGACACAATATGCATTTCAGAAACACAGCAGCAACTACCATAAATAACCGGCTCATTACTTTTTCTTTTTTTTTTTTTTTTGCTTTTTCGAGACAGGGATTACTTTTTCTTTTTAAAAGAACATATATGCAAATTAGTTGAGAAATTACAAAGAAAAGCTAGCTGGCCCCTGGCGGTGTTAAGAATAGCTATGGCCTCCATAAACTCATGTTTTGAATAGTTGGCCCATAGGGAGTAGCGCTATTATGAGGTGTGTCCTTGCTGGAGGAAGTGTCGCTGTGAGGGAAGACTTTGAGGTCTGATTGGCTCAAGCTACACCCAGTGTGGCTCACAACTACACCCGCTGTGGCTCAGCCTCCTTCTGCTGCCAGCAGATCAAGATGTAGAACTCTCAGGTCCTCCAGCACCATGTTTGCCTGCATGCCGCCATGCTGATGATAATGGACTAAATCTCTGAAACTGTAAGCCAGCCTCAATTAAATTTATAAGAGTTGCCATGGTCATGGTGTCTCTTCACAGCAATAAAACCGTAGCTAAGACACCCCCGTAACTTCAGGTTTTAAGATGACCAAGAAAATTGTTTTTGATGGGTCTGAATTGATTTCTAAAAGATCAAGACTTGGGGTGTAGCTAAGTCAGAAGAGCATATATCTAGCATGCATAAGACCCAAGGTTTGATTCCCAGTACCAGTAAAAAAAAATGTTTTTAACATTTATTTTATTAAGTAATTTTATTATTTTATGTGTACGAGTGTTTGCCTACATGTCTTATGTGTACCATGTGTGTGTGTACCTGATGCTTATGGAGGTCAAAAAAGGAAGTTGGATCCATTGGGACTAGAGTTACAGACAGTTATGTGCCTCAATGTGGGTACTGGGAATGAAACCCAGGTTCTCTAGCAGAGCAGTAGTCTATTAACCACTGTGCCAACTGTCCAGCCTCATTTTCTTATTGTTTTTCTGTATATGGGTGTTTCCCCTGCATGTACAGCTGTGCACCATTCCTGGCGCCCTCAGAGGCCAGAAAAGGGTGCGGGAGGCCCTGGAACTGGAGCTACATTTATAAGCTTAAGTGTAGGTGCTGAGAATTTAACCTGGGTCCTCAGGAAGAGAAGCTAGTGCTCTTAACTGATGAACCATCTCGTTAGTCCTTTGTTTGTTTTTTAAATAATAGGCCTAACAATTTATACATACTATGAGCCAAATATGGATGCAGCCAATCGTGTGTATGTTCATTCTCCACCGTATTGTTTGAGCTAGTCTCTCCCTGGACCTGGAGTTCACCAATTGGTTGGCCACTGTGCTCCGGAGATCCCCCTGTCTCCGTGCCGGGCCCCTCTTCCCATCGGTGCTGGAGATCCACATACTTTACCTGCCAAGCCGTCTCCCGACCCACAACTACATCCATTTCTGCACATTCGAGAATGCTCATAAGAACTAAAGATGGGTTCCAACCGTGATCATCTGAACTAAAAATAGACACTGGGAAGTCAGTTATTTCCTGTGTCCCAGAAATATTTGTGTTTATAAAGATACAAGACTTCCACAGAATTTCTCCTTTGCCCAGACAGGCTTACAATTAACCCTCAACAGACTACAAATATCTCCTAATTGCTATGTAAGTCTCTAGTTATGAAAAAAAGAAGTGAGATCTTTGAAGCAACCTTCCATATACTCATTTAATGCAACGTCTGGATTTTACCTCCCAAAGACTTCCCTGCCTTCAGAACTTCAAAATGTAGAGTCCTTTCAATGTGCACAAGGTTGGTAACTTATGCAAACTGTATGTACTTAAAAGTTAAGTGTAAGTTATAGAAATGTAGGCTACATAAGCCATACCTGAGTATAGTATAACAATATAAGTATATAGTATAACTATTAATTCCCGCGCAAAACAATATTAGATTTCAATCTTTTCTCAGAAAGGAAGAACTAAAGAATGCAAATTCCCAACTCCGAGAGCCCATCAAGTCAGACTCGGGTCCGGGATCTTCTTCTGCCACAGTGGTTTTTCACCATACTGCACTCCTCCAGTGAGATCTTAGTGAGATCCTAGTAACACAGCGATGCTCCAAAGTCCCTGGTTGGAACCAAAACAGGCCCAGTACTGCTTTCAGGGCAGAGGTCTTTCCATTTGCATTTCGCTTCTACCTTCAAGGAAGAGGCTGCGTGCTGACAACACTACCAGGAAAACCATTAATTTTTTTTCTTTTTTTTTTTTTAATACCAAGAACTAAAGTTCACATAAATAATTTGTTCCTGGACTTTGGAGACACCCAGGTCCCTCATTATACCTAGATATGTAATCTTGGGCAAGATGCCTAGTCTCTGAATCTGGGTTAAAGATAAATAAAATGGAGTTTTGAACCCCAGGATCAACAGAATTACATTTAGCACATTGGGTGACCCGCTAAAATCCCCAATAATTAAAAGTGATATTATTATCGCTACTGCACCTATCACTGTAGTGAATATTGCAAATAAGGCTAGAACTCGTCCCTGTCTTACAGATCTTGGTCCCCTACAACACAGCTCAGGGTGTCTGAAGGTGGCCTGGGTGAGACAGGCAGCGAAGTACCTGCAGGCAGGAACTACAACAGGCCGGGCGTTCCTCGGCGCTCTGAAGGTCGCCTGAAACGCAATTCCAGGAGCAGGGCTGTGTGTCGACCACCGTTGAGGGCTGCGGAGGACGCCGCGTGGCTCCCTGCGCCTCAGTGACGAGGCGCCCCCCTCTAATAAGGGCCGCAGCTTCCAGCCAATTCTTGAAAGATTCTCTGAAGTCAGCGATGGAGGATGAGACTCCAGAGGCCAGGAAACTAACTACTGGTTCACGGCCCAGGCCCAAACTCCCCGGGCCCCGGAGTGACGTGAAGCCGCGCGCGAGACCCCTCATACTATTGGTCACTGCCACCCAGTGGGCGGAGCGATGCGCAACCCTGCTGCGCAGGAAGCACCATCTTCGGGCACTAAGCACCCAAGCTCGGCTATCTCCAAGGCGACCGCGACCCGGTCACCCATTTGGCAGTGGCGTCGGAGGTACGTCATCTCCTCGCGCCCTCCCGGAAGTGATTGTCCCTGCTGCCGGGTGGGTCGGAACGCCAGACCTTCTGTGCCCCGGCGGAGTTAGGGACACTGATGCAGTTTCTGCTCGGTGACCATGGCGGTGTTTCACGACGAGGTGGAGATCGAGGACTTTCAATATGACGAGGACTCGGAGACTTATTTCTACCCCTGTCCCTGTGGGGATAACTTCTCCATCACCAAGGTATCCTTAGGGCCCGCCGGCGACTCCGTGCTTGCGCATTTTCGCTTCCGGTGTCTCTGGCAAGCCTCAGTCTCTCACGTGTTCTTCTGAACCCCCGCCCCTAAAGTAGTAACAAGCTGTCAGGGGTACACGGTCTGGCTGGGGGCGCAGTTCTCCCTAGCCCCATCTTTAAAATCTCCGCCCCCCCCCCGCCCACCCCCGGGAGCTTCCTTGAGAAGGGAACTCGATCTTGTACCCTAGGGTTTTGGAGTAGATCGAATCATCTAATCTCGCTGGTTATTTTCCGAGGTGACACTTGGGGAAAAGTTCTTTGCGTTATTACCCAACCCAAGACTTGCACATAGATATAGGAGAGGTTTGTGGGAAGATGACGGAAGGGAGGCTGTGCTGACCGTACGTTGTTTGATTTCGTCGTAGGAAGACTTGGAGAATGGAGAAGACGTGGCAACGTGTCCTAGCTGCTCTCTCATTATAAAAGTGATTTATGACAAAGTAAGGGATACATTAAAGGGGGTGGTGGTGTGAGATGACGACAAAACCTTAAAGCAGCCTGTCTGATAGAAAAGTGCAGAAGAGTATTGGGTTTTTGGTTTATTTGGGGGGTGGGGGTGGGGTTATTGTTGTTTGTTTGTTTGTTTGTTTGTTTTTGAGACAGGGTCTTTATATAGCCCTGGCTTTCTTGGAACTCGCTATGTAGCCCAGGCTGATTTTGAACTCATAGAGCTCCCTCTGCCTTTGATTCCCAGTGCTGTGTTTAGAGGTGTGGGTCATCACGCCCGGCTTAGAAGACTGTTTTCTTAACTTTATGCTAGACCAAGGGCTATTTTTTTTTTTTTTTTTTGATTTTTCGAGACAGGCTTTCTCCGTAGCTTTTGGTTCCTGTCCTGGAACTAGCTCTTGTAGACCAGGCTGGCCTTGAGCTCACAGAGATCCGCCCTGCCTCTTCCTCCTGAGTGCTGGGATTAAAGGTGTGCGCCTCCACCGCCCGGCTGATCAAGGTCTATTTTAAAAAAGCTTTAAAAATGGTCGGAAGTAGCTGTATGATAATGTTGTTCACGTTTAAATTATGTAACGTGTTCACTTTGGAAAGGCAATTGCTCTATAATGAAAATCTAATGGAAAAGACTTAATCAGGAATGAAAAAATATGAAGTCATTTTAGTTGATGTTCTTTCTTTTGACATTTCCCTTGTATTTAATATTTAGTTGTTTAGAGCTGCAGGATATTTCGAAAAGACTGCATTTTATTGCTTGCCTGGTTTATGCATACAATCAACATTATCTTGTTTGAGATATCTCAGATTTCTAGCTGTGATTTTACAGTTTCATGTTAAATTTGTTCCTTCTTACCCAAAGAGAATGACTGTGGGAAGGGGGTAAATGCTTTTATGCCCTACCCGAAGTGCAGTTAATGTTTTGGAGTCTTAAGTAAGGAGCTTGACAGTCTGGATGAACTTTAAAATGAGTGTAGGGTGAATTAGCCCAGAGCACAGAGCTCTGTGAGAGGCAGGCTTTAGTTTAGACAATAGTGTAGAACTCTAATGATTCATTCTTGAATTAAAATGGTCTCTGGTACGAAGAGCAACAAGGACAGACTAGGGGCTGACTCCTTGGGAATCACACTGTGCAGAGTTCTTGTGGTAGCTGGCATCAACCAGGATAAAAGACCAGAGACTGAGCTGGGGGTCGTGGCCCCTACCTTTAATCCCAGCATTCAGGGGGCAGAGGCAGGTGGAGGTCTGTAAGTTTGAGGTCAGCCTGCTCTATAGAGAGAGTTCTAGAAAGGCTGGAATTGTTAAATAGAGAAACTCTGAACACCCCCCCCCAAAGACCAAAAAGCCAGCTCCCCGAAAAAAAGCAAAAGCAACAAAAACAAACCCAAAATAAAGATCAGAGACTGAACCTCATTTTCAAATTAGATATTATTTCAGGACTGTGTTGAGAAACACAGAGACCTATTTTTAAAGAGGCTACATATTTGAATGATCAAGCAGATATTGAACTGACTAATGCAAAACCTTAAAAGATGTGACACGTTAATTTCTGGGAAGTGGTTGCTTTCTCGCAAGATGGTCATGTTTATAAGACACTGCTTACTAAATAATGATTTTAGGACTAAACTTCAACATGCTCTTAATTCTTATTCTAGTTCTGACACCACAAAAATGAAATGCTATTGGGTCTGGAGAGATGGTTAGTGGCTAAGAGCTTCTGAAAAGGCCTGGAATTCTATTTCTGTCACCCACCCTGGTGGCTCAGAGCCACCTGTAACTCTAGGGAATCTGATGATCTCTTCTTTGCCCCGCCCACACACGTGGGGTAGGACATATACATAAGTGAAAATACATTAAATCTTTAAGGTGTTCCTTTGCCTCAAGTTGTGTCACAGAGATGGCTGCTAATATCTAGTGTAGAGCAAGGGTCCTGCTAATGCTGTACAATGGACAACAGTTTTTAATCTGAAGTCTTAGACTTTAAATTTTTTGTTGCCATTTTTCTAATACTATAAATGGATTTTTCCTAAATTTTACATTTGATGTTTTTATTGCTAGCATATAATAATAATAGTAATAATAATAGAAACAAATGATATAGCGGTGAAGAAGATGTTAATGCATTTGTGCGACAGACACCTGGTGGCTAATAGTCTTTCTTCTTCTGTCTTAGGATCAGTTTATGTCTGGAGAAACAGTCCCAGCACCATCAACCAACAAAGAGTTAGTTAAATGCTGAAGAAGCCCTCAGGGACCCACATCCTGGGCAGCAGGCAATGACTCCAGGTGAACGGATCAAGCGCTGAGTGAGCCCCCTCTCCACAGGACAGCTCTCTGGGGCTTGCTCTTCCGTGGGTGGGCATCATCATCAGCTGCTGAATTCTTCATAAGAAACGAGCCCGTGACGTCAGCCCTGGATTTCGTGCTTACACGGCATTGGAAGGATTCCTGATTGTCCATCTAAATTTAAAGGAAGAGCCTTATGAACTGGCACTTTTTCTTTCTCCTGGTTGCACCTTTTGAACATCTTAAAACTAACTCATTTTTCTGAAAACAACATCATCCACTTCAATCCTGAGGCTTTTTATTTTTTTTTAAAGATTTACTGTTTTATTTTTAGTGTGTGTGTGTGTGTGTGTTCATTTGTGTCGGGGCATGTGTGTGTTGAGTGCAGCTGCTCAGGAATGCTGGAGGCATCGGGTCTCCTGGAACAGGAGTCACAAATGGTTGTGAGCCACCGACATGGGTGCTGGGACCCAGACTTGGGTCCTTGGAAAGCACTACACGGTCTCAATCTCTGAGCCATCTTTGCAGCCTGCAGGCTCCTTATTTTAAAAGATTACATTTTGATGGAGCTGCGGAGCTGATTCAGACGAGGCCTTTCTCTGTCATTTGCTTTGTTGGAAACCTAGGGGAATCTGTGCCTTTCCTGCTGCTGCGCTCTGGCTCCTTTGGCAGCCAGCCGCCCTGACCTTGCTGTGACTGCATTGTTGGTGTTCGCAGTCATTCCTGCTGCTCTTCGTGCACAGAGTTCAGTCACGGTTTCTCTGAGGAGGGCCAAGCTAGAGGGAAATGGAAAAAGGAACAGCTCCTGATACTTGGTGCATCCCTTACGTTAGGACAGGAGGAAAACTGCTGTCAGTGCGAGGCGTGAAGTCTGCCAGCTTGGCAAATGAAAGTACATGAATAATTGTTCCAGGCTGGGCCTTTATTTCTGGAGATGACCGAGGGACCTCATTACAGATGGGTTAGGTGTCATAAGTGACACCTCCACAGCAGAGCGTGAGGGCATACCTAACAAGCCTGCACATGATAAGGAGAAACGAGAAAAACTCTTCCCTCGCTGTGGTCTGAGAGTTTCTGTAAACACAGCTTTGCTGTGAGTGCATAGACTTGAAAGTGCACTGGTGTCCAGCAGATTGGGGTGTGGCTCCTGCAACTGAAAAAGCTAGTAGGGACAGGAGAGGTGGCTCATGGGTTAAGGTCCAGAAGGACCTGTGTTCAGTTCCCAGCACTTGCATATTTCACAGCACTCTAGTTCCTGGGGTTCTCATGCTTTCTTCTGACCTCTGTGGACACCATGCATGTGGTACACAGACACAGACAAAACGCCTATACAACTAAATAAAATTCTTTTTTAAAAAGAAAATAGCCAATAAATATGTTGTACTCACTCAATGGAGGCTTACATTAAAATATGTAACCAGGTTGTTTTTGTAACCAGTGAGTAATATACAGGTCTAGGTAGCCATTAGGCTGAGGCAGAGTAAGTTAAAAGCTTCCAGAAGTGTGTTGTACATCTTACGTTACATTTCTTTGTTTTTTTCAGGTGGGGAGGTGTTGAACCTCGAGCCTTGCACGTGCTGGGCAAGCGCTCTAGTCCTGGTTTGGGTCTCTGGCCAGCACACTTTTAACAGGACAGGAAATCTTACTGCTCTTTGCTGCTCCCCAAGTGATCTTAGCAAAGCCACTGCTCAGATGGACAGAGCAGGGTACTGCTGAGAATGAGCTACACAGAGACTGTCTTGTGCTCAGAGCAGTGGTTTGGAGATTCCACTAACAGACTTTCTCTGCTGGGAACACAGTGTAGCAGAACAGAGTCTGATTTGAGACACCTCAGGAGAGAAAAGCATGAGCAGACTGCCGGCCAGTGATTGGTTGAAGTGGGTGTGGTTTTGTCCTTAAAGCAACTGAGCAAGTCTAAAAACTACCAAAGAAATACCAGCTATTAGTCCTGTATTAAACAGAAAAAACTAAGGCCATTCAGATATGACTGGACTCCCAAACATTTCTGAAGCTCCGTAGGCTTCGCCAGTGCCTACAGATTTCTCGTCTGTGCGGTTAGGATAGTCAGGTGATCACTCAGCCATCAGTTCTCATTGCCAGGACTCAAACCTTTATAAATTCCAAACCATCATGCATCACAGCCCATGGAAGCTCCACTCTTCTCCCATAGCATTATACTTGAGAGCTTGAAAAGTTTTAAGTCAAGCCAGGCGGTGGTGGCTCACACCTTTAATCCCAGCACTCGGGAGGCAGAGGCAGGCAGATCTCTGTGAGTTTGAGGCCAGCCTGGTCTACAGAGGTAGTTCCAGGACAGGCTACAGAGAAACCTTGTCTTGAAAAAAGCAAAACAAAAAGTTTTAAATCAGTTTTTCAAAGGATTCTGCACATATGTTTGAAACACATTCATATACAGCCAACAATTTTTTAGACTTGTATGTATTAATTTATTAGAATGACATATTGCTAGGCTAATAAAATGAGATCATGCAAATTCATGTTTTTGTGAAACTTTTTTCCTCCAAATACCAAAATTTTACATTCAAGGTGTCATGATTTTACTTAAGATAGAACTCTTAACTTTGGGCCATTGTAAGTGGATTATGGATGTTATGGTGATTGAAGTCTGGGCTGGATTTTGAGATTCTTGGCCTCTTCAAGGAACTGAAATAAAGGCTCAGACATCGCAAAAGTACCCAGGAAATGTACTTTAAAGAGAAGCCACTGCCCTGATTAGAAAAGAGGCCCCATGGGAGAACGTACTCAAGGGCTCCAGGTTGTTGTTGGCTTCTTTTCATGGGTCTTAGAATGAGTTTGCTTAGGAGGGATGGAGTTTGGATGGCTCTCCATTTTGATTGACAGACTAAATTACATTACCACTTCTATACTGTGCTTGCACCCAACATGCATATGATTTGAATCCTGCACACTGCATGCTCTGTAGTCATCGGACAGGAAAAAAGGAGGTTATCCCCTACAGTTTACTTGGAGGACAGTCTATTTTATTGTGCCCCCAATGTTGGCCTTGTTGTAGGGTAGAGACCAAAAGACAACTCACAGTGGCTGAAGTCAGAATTAAATCTGCATAGCTTCACTGGGGACTGTCTGGAGAGAGTCACTTCTCCCAGAACACTGCTGAATGCATTTTACACGGGCTTTTAAAGGCAAAGAACACAGTAAAGTAAGCAAGCAGTTTAACAAAAACCAAAACCATGCACTTAACTGGGGCATTTGGACTCAAGTTCCTAAAACAGTGCTTGGGTACTTTCCCACGGCATTTTTCATAGCAGGAGCAGAAGGGGGTGTCTTAGGGTTTCTGTTGCTGTGAAGAGACACCATGACCACGACGACTCTTATAGAGGAAAACATCCAGTTCACTTAACAGTTCAGAGACTCAGTCCATTATCATGGTGGGACATGGCAGCATGCAGGCAGACATGATGCTGGAGCAGTAATTGAGATTCCTACATCTTGCCGGCAACAGGAAGTGGGCAGTATCATGAGCATACGAGACCTCAAAGCCCACCCCTACGATGACACACTTTCTCCCACAATGCCACGCCTACTCCAACAAAAACCACACCTCCCTTTGGAAGTCATTTTCTTTTGAACCACCACGGGGATGGGGGTGAAGGGGGTCAGTTTCAGGTTAAACCAAATATGGCTCCAGTTGAACTAAGAGGGAGGGACCTTTGCTTTGTCAAAGGCCTCCCTATTTTTATTCCTGGCTATAACCAGAATATGATTTAATAGAATATTTGATGTTGATGGTTGTTGAGGAGAAAGTAAATGTATTCTATTGTTTAGAGTGGGGTGTGTACATAGTACATGCAGGTAATGCTCTTGGGTGATCACATACACTATTAGAAGAGGGGTTTGCACGACCCAAACTCAAGTCCAAAGGTTGCTATGCTATTTCCTGTGCTTGCTTGTCTCACGGACAGTAGGATTCTTAGATAGGAATTTGCTGGTTTTTTCTAGTTTGATGATTTGGATTTGGACTCGGGATTTTCTTATTGTTAGTTGAGGAATATAGTTTTGAGTCTAGTGTCAGTAAGGCAAAGAGGTTGGTGCTCTTATAAGAGTAGTTGAGCTCATGGCTGGAAAAGAAGGCTGATGCTTAAGGCCAATGAGCAAACCTCATTGTGAGAAGTCAGCTGTGGAAAGAGTAGACAGGTGTTCTAGTTATTGCTCTGCTGCTGGAATAAAACACCACGACAAAAGGCAACTTAAGGGAGGGTTTATGGTCTCAGAGGGAGAATCCAGAATAGTGGAGGAGACATGGCAGTAGGCAGCCAGAGCAAGAAGCTGAGAGATAGCTTAAACCACAAACTCAACAAGGCAGAGTGAACTGAAAGTGGGACTTTCAAAGCCTGTCGGCAGTGACACGCTTCCTCCAGCAAAGCTAAAGCACTACCAGCTGAGGACCAAATGTTCAAATGCCTGGGGCTAAAAAAAAAATCGAAAGAAGGTATTCTTTGTCTTCTTGGCTCTTTGTTTTGTTGTTTTTCCAGAAAGAAAAAGAACATGAAATTAAGTGGGTAAAAAAGTGGGAAGAGCTGGGAGGAGTTGGGCGAGGGAACATCACGATCAAAATATAGTGTGTAAATTTTTTTTCATTAAAAACAGAAAATAAGGGGCTGAGGAGATCCTCAGAGGTTAAGAACATTGCCTGCTCTTCCAAAGGTCCTGAGTTCAATTCCCAGCAACCACATGGTGGCTCACAACCATCTGGAATGAGATCTGGTGCCCTCTTCTGGCCTGCAGACATACACACAGACAGAATATTGTATATATAATAAATAAATATTAAAAAATAAATTCTTAAAAAAAAACAGAAAATAATAGCCCGGTGGTAGTATAATGGATTAATTAAAATTGCTGCGGATCCCCAAGTGGCTGCAGCGGCAGAAACACTACAGGTCAAGAGGCGGCAGTGGGTAGCGGATCCTGAGAGCAGCCAGTTCCAGGTAGGGACGGCACACGAGACCACGCTGCAGGTCTCTGAAGGCGGCTGGTTCCGCGCAGGGAACCACACAGCTGGCGAGAGACAGAAACATGGATAGGCACGCCATGCAGAGTGAGGTCACACCTGCTTTGTACGTGGAACAATCACATGACCTCAGCCACACACATTACATGTCGGCCTGCAATGGAGCTTTACCAAGAGCCAGCAGGACCACTGAGGCTGACCTGATGTTCACAGTGGGAGAGTCTCTAGCTGAGTGGCCTCTGGCTCACGTCCTTTGGTGCCATTTGTCAGAGATCAGCCTCAACAAAAATACCTCTCGCCAGGGTAGAGGCGTGGGATTTAGAAATCACACATGCACAGGGCACAAAGCTGGACATCACCCCCACAATACACAGCAATAAGTTAATAATTCCAATGTCTGCTGTAGGTATCCATAGGAAGGTATTCACAGCAAAACTGAGATGCAATACGCGGGGTGGGGGGACCTAGGCCAAGCTCCTGCTCTTCTTCCTAGTTGCTGGATGTGTTGCATCCAGGGTTTGTTGCCCTGATCCCCTGATGTGTCTCATTTGTGTCCAACAATGTCCTAGCTAGATGCTTTCAGGAAGGCAGCTAGCACTTTGGTGTAGCAGATACCACCATAGCTGGAATCTTGAACTTTTGATCTTGAACAAACGTCTCCTAACACGTAGTTTAGATGCTCCTAGCGGAGTGTGATCTAGTGATGGTTGGTCCATCTGGCTTGATTAAGTGTCTGCCACACTATGCTGAGTTACAGGAGGTAGGGGGCAAAAACTAATGAAATCGGATGCAGAGACCTTTCTGAAAGCTTGATAAAGTATCAAACGTTAATAGTTACTCCTGAAAGGATAAACAGTATCCATTCAGCCAGTCAAGAAGCAGAAAGCGTTTTGTTGTTGTTGATAAGCACTAACCCTAATGCACAGGGGGGTCTGGGATTTTGTTCTGAGGCAGCATCTCCCTGGGTAGCCGGAAACTCTGCGGACACCCGCTTCCCACTTCCTCCCGGGCGTTGGAATTAAAAGGTACTCTCCAGCGCCGCCATTCACGGCTTTCTAGTTACTATTTTCTTGACAGAATCTCACTATTTACTTTTCTTTCCCCAACGGAGAGTTTCCAAAAACTAGAACTATATTACAGAAATCTTAAAGGACAAACGAAGTGGGAGTGATATTCTCGACAAGTGACCCAAAGAGCCCTGTGGCTCCTTAACGGATGGAGGTTTTGTTCTCTATCCCGAACACGCGCCTTACTCATCAGCAACCAAGTGGTCATTATTATTCTTTTAAAGCGGGTGTGTGTGTGTGGACAAACACAGGACAGACAAGACACGCGGCTCCCACGTGGATGCACTTTAATGGGGGGGAGGGGGACACGATAAAGGACAGGTGTGCAAGGGTAAAGGGCAAGAGAGAGCGAGACCTCGTGGAAGCTCGCTTTTTAACGAGAAGCGCAAGGGTATCTGGGAGAAATGTCCTGCACCTGTGGGCGCCAGCGCGCGCAGGTATCCGTAATCCAGGAGGAATCTGGGAGCTGTAGTTTCCAAAAGGAACAACAGTCATAAAGAGGCAGAAGGAAGGCCTGACCTTGAACAGGAACCATCTGTTCCTGTTTTCCTTTTTGCTCACACGCTTCTAGCCCTTCTGTGGGCTCAACAGGTCAGACAGAGCCAGGGGCAAAGAGGTCAAAGAAACACCGGTCACTTCGGTTAGCCTGGGTTTCTCTAATGAGGAACAGTGATGGGGCGTCGAAGAAATGATTTTTAAGGCCCCCTTCTGCTCTGTTCAGATGTGGCTTTGAGTAGGCTATTTCTAGCTGATTTCTATGCTTGGGTGAAATTCTCGCTTGTCTGCTTGAGGAGCCGGGAGGGAATAAGTGAAGTGGAGGCAATGTTCACTCGGCCTGTAGGGGGAGCTAGAGTTCAGCTGTGTTGACAGCTCAAGGCCAGGCCAGCTTGCAGCAAGGCCTGCAGAGCCAAAAGGATCTCTGGGTTCATGTGTTCCCATTCCCAAGGGGCAGCCTACTTAATGTCTGGAGCAACTGACATTCACTGGACCTTCACCCGGAGGTCTGGAGCAAACACGGTTGTTAGTAACTACTGGTCTCAGTGATATTTCCCATGGTCTGTGTCTCAAAGTCCCGGAGGCTATCAAGGGCTTCTGTGTCATAAACTGGCTCTGCCCAACATGGTGACCCTAAGTACGTGTGGCTTTTACCACTCAAATGATGTGTAAGAAATCAATTCCTCCACAGTCATGTCATCGTATCTCAAGTGTGTCCATATACATAAACTATGCCTTGCTTGTGGCAGCTTCTGTGGCTTGCAGGGGGCCTCTCTCTCTCCCTGGGAGGCCAGGGAAACCTTTGCACGTGGAGTGTGGTTGGAGAAAGAACACTAGAGCATGTCCTCAGAGAGGATCTTTTTCTGCCCCTCCCCTTTTCTGGCTGCTCCTGTCATGATGTTCTGCCTTAACCACGGACCCAGAAACAAGA